TGCTGGGTGGGTATAGTGGTAAATAACAGGAGCTGTCATGTTGCATTTAAACCATCTGTGGGGATGGGTGACTCATGAATCGTAGGATCTCTGCAATGGAGCAATAGCTAGAACTTTAAATGCTTGCAGAAAACTGCATTTTGCTTTGGCGTGATACGTGCAGGGTTCGAAATCCAAACGGGCCCAAGGCCCGTATTTTAAGGCCTGGATTTCTAATACTAGCAGGCCCGACGGGTCAGTAGAAAATCCACCCCCAGCGTGCAAGTAGCAGCATGCACTAGTGATCTCAGCGCCGTATTCAAGAAGAAATGCGCACGCACAAGTGCGTACGCAGAAAATTTAGAACACCTCACGCACAATTTTAGTTAACAATAGTAATGTAAAGCACGTCTTATTACTTACTACTACCAAAGCTACTACTAGTACTAGTCATGCAAACAGCACGACAACCTCGTCGCACCACTCAGGTTTAACCGTGTCATATTGTTTTTAACGTTTGGGAAAACTATATACATTTTATACAGGGTGGAGCTAAATAAAAGCTTCCCTACGACGTACGTTATGACCAAACGTGGTTTACGTAAAACACCTCTCCGTGATGTGCTTTATCATTTGCATAGCTTCATGTCTCCCAATATTCTGTACACCATCTAGCACATCATGCAGAATGTTGGCATTAAAAGAAGAATGTCATCTAAATATCGGATTGGTAATCAATGTTGGCTTTTCAAAATCCCAAAGCAGCACGTACAACAACACACCTAGTCCAAGCATGAACTTTATTATATCGTTGCTCTGCTGCAGTTCGTGGGTTCGCGTAAGGTATCGTCAAGCAAGCATTTATGAACTAGCCACCGTCTCCTAATAGCCACTCATCTCCTATAGCACCATTCTCAAAGATTGTGGTGAGAGCAAAGTTAGTTAAAATATACACGGCAACTGTAAAAGAGGCGGAAGAATAGGAATATATCCGCAGAGGAAATTGACTTCATAATTTATGAAGTGGGACAGAGAAAGAGGACTGTTTGGAAGTTTTGCTGGCAACTGGCAGCTGTAGTTAATAAAAAGACATGGCAAGCTGTGACTAAAGCAGTCAATGCAGTACTCAGCAAGCCACAAACTCAAGATGAGGTGAGTGTATGTATGGGTGTGTGTGCGTGTGAGGTGATATGAGTGTAGGTGAGGTGGTGTGTGTGTGTGTTCAACTTTCATGTCTGCCAGGAAAAACTCAACCGTATCTTTGCCTGATTTGGCTGGTTCCTTAGATATTTACATTACTCAACCTTTTTATTTGCTCTTGCCATGAAATCAACTAATCGACCCTATGGAGCATTGTTTTTCTCTGCCTTGTATATGTCCCAAACATTAGCTTTATCATTCAAGATGTATGATCCACACAGTAAATGATCAGTGTGGGTGTGTGTGAACGCGTGCGCGTGTATGATGATGATGGAGACGTACCTAAATGCCTGTTTGTGTGTACGAACGTAAACCAGTAAACCATTGTAAAAATGTCAAATTTCAGTCTTTTGTTTAAAAAAAATGCTGCGGTATCCAGGGAATGATGCGGGCCTGTAATTTGCCTGGCGGGCCTGTAAAAGGGTCCCTTACCTACAGGCTCGGCGGGCCTGTCAATTTTCAAACTAATTTTTACCCCTGTACGTGTATTGTATTTGTTTTCATTTTTTTTAAAGTGAAACGGAATAATGGTTAGTTTGGCTATGTATTGTTTGTCATTGTGTTGTATATATAGTAATGTATTATTAGACCTTGATATAACTCGAGTGCAGTAATATAAGCTCTTTGGCGCGAAATCATTTCTCCACGCCATCTTGACTCGCCTACCTGTCAACCCCAGTGCGAAATTTGTTGTCAAACGAGAATCCGGTAAAATTGACGGTTGATGTCATTAAAGATCGATGATAATCAGTTGATACAATACTGAGTGATCTGTTATTTTATGCTGTTATTTTACATTATCTGTTATTTTACGTTATCTGTTATTTTACGTTATCTGTTATTTTATGTTATCTGTTATTTTATCCATTGATTTATAGCGATTTGTTTTGTCTGATACTGTTTATTTTTTCGTGCAGCGTCGTACGGAATGCGCAAAATGATTGGCCTGACACAGATAGAGCACAGCTCGTCCTACGGCAAGACGACCACTGCCACCGAGAAGGGGGACACTAAGAAGGAGCAGTGAGCGAGAGTAGGAGGTGGAGGAGGAATAGGAGGAGGAGCAGGGGGATGAGGAGGAGGAGGAGGAGGAGGAGGAGGAAGAGGAGGGGGAGTAGGAGGAGGAGGAGGAGCAGGAGTATGAGGAGGAGGAGGTGGAGGGGGAAGTTGCGGGAGGAGAGCCCCGCCCTCTCTGTCACCCCGTCGTTGCATCCACGGCCCATCGTTGCGTTGCTGGTAAAGTCACCGTCGCCATTTTCTGCATCTCAGTAAATTTACTATTTTTCTGGTGAATCTTATTCTAAGATGTGGCTTGTGGCGTGACTTTAAACTGTGTCTTCCGAATCGTGTAGTTTGGTAGTCTTGACTATGTTGGTCTGGTGACGGTGGCATATTGTAAAATTGGTACCGTGGAGTGCATAGAAGAATGTTTTAGCGTGGAATTCTAATGAGAAACTACGCGAAATCTTTGTTCATACAAGGCAGTTATGTATCTATCTCTGTAGTTCAAATGATGAACTCACCTTTTAAATACTAAATATATGATGTTTAAAACATGATTTGAACTTGTGCATTACTATTATATTATATATGTGTAGTCACTAGGGTAATATATGTCACTGAGGTGATACAAGTTTTTCTTGAATCGGGTGATACTTAACTAAAATGACGAAATTAGATTTTAGTACAACTGTACTAAATGTAAATGAGTGTCATACTGTCTCGACTATCTTCCATTGATAAGTAACTGCCACTTGAGACGTGACTTGGTATCTGATTGCACTATGGCCTGTAATGTATTTACGTCAGCATATTCTGTGATGTACTTAGATTGGTTTCACTTGCTATCGTCGTGTAGATGTATGTAATCTGTCACGGGTGCGTTGTAAACGCTGTGCTGCAACGTGGCGTTGTTCTTCTGCGTCGAGTGCGAGAGAAAAAGAAAGCCGCCTCCATAGATGAGTAACTATGGTCGTTCCACCATCGCTGCAACGCGACATATTACTGTTCGTCTTCAGTGTTGAGTGCGAGAAGAAAAATGCCTCCACAGATACCCATAGGTAACCATAGATAACCACAGATACCCATAGATAACCATAGGTAACCATAGATAACCATAGGTAACCATAGATAACCATAGATAACCATAGATAACCATAGATAACCATAGATAACCATAGATAACTATAGATAACCATAGATAACCATAGATAACCATAGATAACCATAGATAACTATAGGTAACCATAGATAACCATAGATAACCATAGATAACTATAGATAACCATAGATAACCATAGACAACTATAGATAACCATAGATAACTATAGATAACTATAGATAACTATAGATAACCATAGGTAACCATAGATAACCATAGGTAACCATAGGTAACCATAGATAACCATAGATAACCATAGATAACCATAGATAACCATAGATAACCATAGATAACTATAGATAACCATAGATAACCATAGATAACCATAGGTAACCATAGATAACCAACTTGCGTCATCATTCCAGCATGCAGTGCGCTTTTTCATCCCCCGATTCAAATTCCCCGATGCAAAATTTATCGCATTGGTAATAAATACCGCGGAGAGAGAGAGAGAGAGAGAGAGAGAGAGAGCGAGAGAGAGAGAGAGAGAGAGAGAGAGAGAGAGCTGTGAAGTGATGAAGTGATGTCCCAGCCTCCCTGCTCGCTGATGTATGCTTGCATGTTTAGTGGAGGTGTAAATTCCGGGGCACTTCTGCCGCGAACGTGATATGGCGCGATCGGCACAGCGTCACTGCATTAGGAAACGTTTTTTAATTGCGCGCGCGCGATTCCCCAGCGATGCGTGCAAAATGGGGCGACGCGACGCGGGTTGCTGACGCGACGCAGGCGTGCTGACGTGACGCGACGCAACGCGGGCTGCTGACAAAGTAGAAATCCTACCGTTCATAACTAAGGGTCACAGCTTGGGGCTCGTGTGTCACAAACAAGATTAGTCGTAACATTAGTCTTAACATGTACTTGTACTCGTAGACCGGACCTCCGCACACTGCGTATGAGAAACTCGTAACTTTACGATGTTTCTGTCAATATGCGACATAAATCCAATGGTAAGACTAGTGTAGCGACTAATATTCTTCCTGACAACGGACCCTACGATTAATTACATTCACCCGAATGCGGTTTAGTGTTAGCCAGCACATATAGTTACCGTGGTTACCGGCTAGCAATGAGGTTTAGTGTTAGCCAGCACATATAGCTATATAGCTATATAACTATATAACACATACAGCTACTGGAGTTACTACTCGCTAGCATGAGTGAAGCTGAGTGTACGTCGCGGTCAGGCTGCACGGCCAGGGAATTTTTTTTTCCCACTTGAGTTCCGGACCACAGCCAATCAGCGCACTCCATTCACTCGACTTCCTCGAAGCAACAATGTAAAATGAATACCACCTATCCCTAACCCTAACTATGATCCAACAATATATATACGAACCATATATTACAAAACACTATCTATGGTGGGTCCGGAACTCGAGTGGGGAAAAAAATTTCGCGCACGGCCAGGTCATGTGAAACACGTAGCCTGTATACACATACATGTATACGATGTATATATGTACATATCTTAACATTCGGTGACCGATGGGGGCCTGGTTTGGAGCACCTGGGTACACATGTCTATCCCAACAACATACCCACGTGATGGGCTCTTACTAGTCCCTTAGTGGCTGTGACGTCACGTTGGTGGCGTTAATGAGATGTTATAATGTGTATACTAGCTGATGATTCGCTGTCAGGGCCGTTGTCACGTTCGTGGTTACATGCGCAGTGGATGTTCTGTTTCAGCTACTGTTATAGGATGAGATTTGTATATGTTTAGCGCGCGTCACTAATATCCCTCGTAAAAACTGCAAAAATTTGATCACACGTCAAACTAGTCGAAACTATAGCAGTGACAAGTGCAATGTGCAATCGCGTACGTCGTTGGCGCAATTGTCGTTGATTGTTTTCGTTGAAGTGAAATTCACGTTGTTACAAAATGTTTATAATGTTTTCTTGTTTTTAGCAATTAAGTATGGTCGGGTATTTTTGCCAATTGAGGTCGTCGTCACATATCAAACGCGGCAGTCAGTATAGGTTAATCAATGTACGCGTCTTTCAAACGGAGATCGTTAACAATATCTTGTGCATTTGTAGTCGGTGTAGATATCGAGGTTGGGCACTGGCAACAAAATGTAGTTTGTTTTGTTGCCTTGGTACGTTCGTTATACGTCACTCGCATGTACGTCCGCCAATACGGTTTTGGAACACCTATATTATATATATATATATGTTATATATATACTTATATATATATATATATATATATATATCAGGGGTAATAATCACAAATATATATGATATATATATATAATTAGAAATAGATATATAATGTAGGTGAATTTAGTCATCCGTATCATTCATTATTCACTACCATAATTATTAGTGTGCTTGAATATGATATTATTGATAGAAAGCGGAGTCATCACACATTAGTGGTGTCTCTGTGCTCTGGTGCGCATGCGTGCAAGGATAAATTAAAGTTAGCGTTGAGACGTATAATCTACTTGCATTCGTTTTGATGTCGTGAGCCGCGTGTTGGCATGTGGGCTGTCGTGTTATTACCGTCATGACAGTGTGCCCACTAACTACTACGTGGTCTGCTGCTACCGCTGCTGCGCTGCTGCCTCTATCTAGCTGCTGGGGCTGGCTACTGCTGCATGCTGCTGCCTGCTACTGCTGCTGCGGCTTGGCTGCGACTGCTGCTCTGCTATTGTGTGACTGTCCTGCTGGATGCTGCTACTGCTGCTGCTGGGGCTCTACTGCTGCTGCTACTGCTGCTGCGCTGCTGCTGCTGCTACTGCTGGTGTTGCTGTTCTACTGCTGTTGCCTATGGCGCTGCTGGCTTCTGCCTACTGGTCTGCGTTCCTGGTGCTTGCTGCTGCTGCTACTGCTGCTGCTACTGCTGCTGATGCTGCGTGCGCGTAGGTGTGCGCGTACGTGTGTGTGTGCGTGTGCGTGGGTCTGGGAGTGCCTTCGTGTGTGCGTGCGTATATGTGCGTGTGTGTGTGCGTGCGTGCGTGTGCTTGCGTTCGTGTGTGTATGCGTGCGCGCGTGTACGTGGGTGTGCGTTCGTATATGTGCGTGCGTGGCGGGGTGGTTGGCGTTCATTCTTGCCCATCAATACAGGCCGTCACTGCACACACACACGTCGCGTGTTGATCAACACTGCTGAGTTTCATGGCTTCTGTAACCGCGATAGCTGCAGGCGGGACGTTGTCTGTCCGCCTGCTCACGGCGCATGCGCTCTACTCACGGGTCCCGGCGGAACGCCATCTTGCAATTAGGATATTATATATATATATATTATATTATTATATTATGTTATATATTATATTATTATATGTTATTATATTATGATTTATATATATGTTATAATATTATATTATCACATTATATATGTATATATATATATTATGTATGTATTATGTTAGTATATTTATTATTATATGTTTATATAGTATTATATTATAATTATATTATTTATAATTATATTTATTATGTTATATATTATGTTATATTATATTATTTATATATTATATATATATTGTTATAATATATTTATATTATGTATATTAGATTATGTTATATATTAGATATATGTATGTATATAATATTATATTATAGTATTATATTGTTATATTATTTATGTATGATATATATATTATATATTATATTATGTTATATTATATTATGTTATGTTATATATTATATTATATTATGTTATATATTATATTATGTTATATTATATTATGTTATATATTATATTATATTATGTTATATATTATATATTATATTATATATTATACTGCTCGGAGACATATGTCCACCGTTAGATAATCGTTATTGTGAAGAGTTCGAATCGTGGGTTTCCGATGATGGTTTCCGTCGCAATGGCGCCGGTGAGGTGTGAGGGGCGGTGAGGGGCTAAAGAGAGAGAGAGAGAGAGTTGCGATAGAG